TGCTTCCTGCTCTGCTACAGCAACTTGATGTTGTCTGTTTGGCAAAACAAAAAATAATGGTGTCTCCTTACAAAGAAAACATTTTCCCTTTCTAACAGTTTTAGGATGGGTAAACTCAAAGTTGTTTCCCTAACACTACTAATTTTTCCCTTCAACTTTTACTCTAAGTGCTCTCTGGGTCATATTCTAATAAGGAGCACAGCATATAAAGCTTATTTAATGTCAAGAAGTACTAGATGACTCCAGATTCAAAAATGAAAGATAAACTGAAAAGCAGAGAGGAAAACTGGCATTCAAGGCTCTTCACCATCTGGTACTAACTGACTCTTTCTTGCCTAGCTCCTTCCCTCTATGCCTTTGATCACCCTGGCCCCTGGCCCAGAAAGGCCTTTCCCTTTATACTATTTGTCTTATTTCAACATGTCCAAATCCTACCCATTCTTCAAAGTATGGTTTAAATGTCACCTCTTCCCTTATCCTTATAACTAAAAGTAATCTCTCTCTTCTCTCTCTAAACTCTTGTAGAGCCTTATCTTTATCTCTTCACCACACATTACTTTCTGCCTTATGTTATCTTTGTTTCCATATTTAATCCCCCACATATGCATAAAGCCCTCAGGGTCAAGGTTCATGCTTTATTCATCTCTATTCAAAGTGCTTAAGACAATGTCTTGCAAACATTAAGTACTCCAATTGAGTTACATGAATGGCTTGGGTTAGGAGACAGGAGAGGTCCACTAGAAACAACTCCAGATCAGGAGTCCAGATATCTGGCTTTGCTAATAACTAGCTATATGACCTTGAACTTTAATCTTTTAGTTTGTTCACCTGCAAAGTGAAGAAGGTAGACTAAACCAGTTTTTAACAATAGGCTGTTATCCATTAGCGGGCTGTAAAATCAATTTGGGGATCAAAACCTAGTTGTTTTTTTTTAATGAAATAGAATAGAAAATATCAAAGTGTGTTGTAGGCGGGGGTATGCTGCACATGTTTAACAACTGGCTATCCAGAGAGGGGTAAAAGCCCCGAATTGTACCATTTGCTGATTTCCCTAAATACTCCCACCACAGCCAATGTCAAGCTACCAATATGTCACTGAACGTGGAGCTAGGTGGGAAGAGAAAGGCACAACAGCTCTTGCAAACCAATATGATGAGCCAGCTCCAGCAAGGACCTGAAAAGATAAGTATTGTTTCGCCAAACTCTTCTTTGAACTTTTTGTGGGTGTTGAATCAGGGTATAAAATTTATTTCTTACTGTGAGTCACATTCAAAACAGTTTAACAGACGTTCAGCTAAACAATCTCCTAGTCTCTTCCATGTGTACTACACAATGCAATAAATCTTACTGTTGGTTAAATATGTAGTCTCTTCACCACCACAATTTATATTTCTTTTCAAAAATGAGAGTAACAGAAATGCCTATTAATATTACCAGAAGGCAAATGACAGGGAGTGAAAATTTGCCTTAGGAAGTATCAGCAAGGAGCCAGCCTTTGTTCAGCCACACACACCTGAGGGACACAACACATTCCTACTAGTAGCAATGGCTCATTTAGCAAAGAGTTAGGGGTGTGAGGGAGAGAGGAAGAGGAAACCTACAGTATGGAAAAAGATCCAAGTAACTGTGATATTTGTGCCCATGTCCTCACCCCACTGAGAACCTGGGTACAAAGAAAACCAGTGCTGTAAAAAAGTAAATTTCCATACCTGATGTTGCCCAGCCAAATTCTCCATCACAAGCTTGCATCCCTCAACAAGCCCTCCGTTACTGAGAATTCCCTACTAGAATTAAGTTTTTGCCACAGACTAGCAACATGTTGAATTTAGAGTAGGCAAGGGGAAAAACAGCACAGCAGTGGTTAGACCTGATATTCTAGGAAAATCAGGCTTTTATTGAAAAAACATATATTCTTATTTTTTTCTTATTTAAGCTTACTAAATTGGGTAAGGAGAGGGGAAGTTTCTTGAATATATTTTTGGCTGTACTATGTCTATCACAACATTGTCTGTAACCAGATTTTTCATGAGTGTTTATAAAGAATTGTGTTTTCTATTTTTAAGGCTATTTAGAACACAAGAAGGCTCAGAATTTCAAACATACTAATAATCTTAGCCCAAATCTAATTCCAAGTCAACTGCATATGTCTAGAAGTTTCCAAGGAAAATCCCCAAAAATTACACCAAAAAACACCAAAAGATGACAAAAAGGAGTCAGCATGAACACAAACTTGCTATCCTCAAACAATTATGGCATCCTATCTGTTGAAGGAGTGCAATATGGAAAGCAAATGAAGTATGAAAAGGAGAACGTTGAGATACAAGTTCTCCTTAATTCCATTAACTCTTCCTTATTAGGGTCCACTGATGTTCACATACTTATACCTAATTTCAAATACTGACCATAAAGTGAAATTCATTTCCCACTCTGAAAAGCCAAGAGTCAAGTCAAGCAATGTCTTTCTCCATGCTCACAATATTTAACCTCTTTCCTTAAAAACTGAGTATGTGTTACCATAACTCAGGCTCAAGTCCGTACTTTCTCTGCCTCCACTGTTTGTGGTGGCAAATGCTCATAAGACTATCTCCATAAGAGAATCCTGAGCTGTCTTTGCAGTATCAGAGGCTGGAATAGCCTTGGGCTGCTGGTCAACCTCAGACCCAGTGGCTGACCTAGTTATATAAGGCAAGAGCTATACATGTGTAGGAACTCATCAAAACTTGTGAGAGACAGCAAAAAAGCTCTGTGCCTGGGACTCTCATAGGCTACATATCTACTTCATTCTCCAAACACCCTCTATCCAGCCATAATCATCCCCACACCACTTCAAAACAATGGTAGACTGGAATGCAGACCCAGTTCTACACCCTCTACACAACAAATTTTTGCTACTTAGCTACTACTCTCTTCAAAGTTAATCTCTAGAAGCCTGGCTATCTCCCACTCATAATATTTTTACTTGGCAAAACAGAATTCCTTCTTTTGACTACTCCAAAAGAATGGATAAAAGGACTTTCAGCTTTAATGCTGTATCATCTGAGTACAAATAAATACACAGTAATTGAACAAGTTCAAGTTTGGGCTGAGGCAAAGAAAAAAATTTTAAGTACAAGTTTTTAGAAGTCACAAATTTAGAACTGGTGAGCTGATAAACATGAAAACTCTGTTTCACATGCCTAATAAAATTGTCATTCAAATAAAAAACATAATAAAAAATCACTAGAATGAAAAGAAAATTATCTGAAACAAGTAGCAAAGGAACAAAAATTCGCAGAATATCGCAACTATAACATATAAAAATTCCCATCAAATAACTCAGGCCAAAAAAAAAAACAAAAAACACTTCATACATTTACAGTCGCACCTTTTTACGTTGGTTGGTATATTCACTCCATACCCCAACAGTACTGGGACCTACTACCTTGTTTCCAGCTTTCGAGAATACGATGTAGGCTACATAATACTTTCACATATAAGCACTGCCCAACTACATCCACTTCTCCCCAAATGACTTCTTAATACATAATATCAGAGCACATTTTGAACTGATTTAATATAGATACCAGTCTAACTCAGAGTCTCAACGAACTCCCCAGGCAGGTGAGCATTTAATACAACTTGGTGATAATGTATACATTAAATTCATCTGGTCTTTCTCCTTTGCAATTTCATTGTCGGTTTCATATGGGACTCTCTATTGAGATAATGAATCACAGGCCAGTTTTCCAGTGCTAGCAGCTCATGGACCAATATTTTCCATGGATGAAATCCACTTCCAATTTGACCACAAGGAAACTTCGTCTTTGTATCTTCTGACATCATCGTACTGGATATTCTACAGAAGTGCAGCAGAAGGCAATTATAAACACTATTATGAGTAAAGTCAGAAGGTATTCATGAAATTATGTTTTCAGAATTGCAACAAGCAATACCTACCTCCCACCACGTACAAGAAAATTTAAATGTATTAAAAATCCCTAAACCTTCCAGTACCAAAAATCCAGGCCTTGAAATCAGTTTCCAAACAGCGCTGAAATCCGTCAAGCAAGCAAAAGTTCTCCTTACCATCAGTGTAGTGAGGTTGGCTTTTCTCCTCACTTGCATGAAACCATCAATTCTGCAAGTGACCACCTAAATTTTAGTACATTGTCTAAAGTAATTCTATCTTAGAGATCCAAGGAGAACACAGAAGCACGTGGACACATTGCCCTGAGATCACAAACAGACCCTGTCAGTCCAGTCCCCGAGCACCCTGCCACCTTCCGCTGGCCAGTGGCCCCTTTCCACATGCTGACGCACTGCCCAGCCCTGCACCGTTGGCGACCAGTGCAAAGTACTAGCCCAGTCTCAGAAACTTTGACTCAGTTATCCAGACATCGAGCACCCACAACCTGGATGGGGGGTGTCTGTCATGGCCAGGCGGTCAACTTTCAAGCGGGGAATTCCTTGCAGGTAGAGATCTGCCCGGGACGCAGCCCATCCCAGACTGCAAAACCACAAGCATCAACAGCAGGAGCGGAGCAAAGTACCGGGCGGAGACACGGGGAGGGCGAAGGCGAGACACGGTCACGAACAGAGAAGCCCAAGGGTGGGTAAGAAAACACCCTAACCACACGTCCCCCGGACGCGGGGCTGCTGGGACTGCGAACCCGGCAGCAGCCACAGAGCAGCAGCGGGCGGCGGAGGCGGCGGCAATGTCAGGAGGGCAGAGCTGGAGGCGAGCGCCGAAGTCAGCACCCCGCCCCCAGGTGAGGGGCGCCGACCCCGCCCGCCCACCCGCCGGAGCCGCGAGGAGCGGCCACCCGGAGAACCGCAGGGTACACGAGGGGACGGGCAGTCTCGAACCTGCCCCGTGCCCGCTTCCCGAGGTCCTCTCGCATCCCGACCCGGGCCGGCCCCCACCTCGACCCTCCCCCGGCTGAGCCCCGGAGCCAGCACCTCCGGCCCGGCCCACGGCTCCCGGCTGCCCGCCCGCCCCTAGGAGGCCGCCCTCGCCTCACCTCCTCACGTCTCCGTGGGCAGGGCCGGAACAACTCTGCCAGGCGTCCGCGTCCCACCCGCCACCCCGCGCTCTGCGGCCGGGCCCGTCCCGTTCACTCCGCGGCGGCCAGAGCCCTGAGAGGGCGGAGGGAGCGGAGAGCGGAGGAGGACCGCCCGGCAGGAAGAAGCGAGGGAGGGGCGGGCCGAGGAGGAGGCGAGGGAGGGGCGGGCCGAGGAGGAGGCGAGTCGGAAGCACGCGCGTCCGGGCCCCTCGGCGCAGCGTGCGCGCTCCTAAGAGCTGAGGCGCCGTGTCTGCCTCCGGCGGCGGCGCGCAGGCGCGTACACGTGCCTGCCTGGCAGCTTTTGGGCGGGGGCGGGGGAGTGAAAACCTGACAGAACCTGGGTTGTTGGGGGAGGGACCCGGGACGGGGCGAGAGGTGCCTGCGGCTCTTCAGAACCTCCCGGGAGGGTAACCGCGCCCGTGAGCCAGCCCGCGCGGGCACGCTGAGGGGCGGCCCCGAGCCCTGAGCGAGGTGGGCGGAAGCCCTGCCCAGCGGTCCCTGAGTTCTTAGATAATTCTGAGGTTGGGGCGCTTGTTGTCTTGTTCATTAACTTGGTTTACATATTATCATTCTGAATGCGCAGTCATTCTCAGGGCAGTCACCTTAAAGTATACTAACTCTTCTCGCCAGTTACTCCTTTCTGTGCCTCTTTCAAGGTGTCTTGTGTGCTTAGGAAGCGCTTCCTGGTTGGTTCGTTCTGTGGGACTTGGGGGAGATTGAGGAGGGAAATAACCCTCGGAGAATGAACAGGAAACCGCTAAGCACGATTCTGTATTTATATGAAGAAAACCTGCCCTCATTTGCACCTTTTTATACTTTGGCCTAATAAATTTGGGGGTACAAGCTAAGAGAGAAAATAAAACAACTCTTTTTCCTCAGCAAGTATTATACTGATCCTTGAACTGTGGCTATCCTTCTTCCCAGATTCTGCAGCCAGAAATGACCTGTAAATTTTCCCAATTTCCTTAGCACTTTGTTTCTACAAGTTCGTGGCACCTAATATATTCAACCTTATCTAGGTAAATCTGTGCAATATTTTATCCCCCTAGAGAATCCTTGAGAACTTGCTTCACTCATTTTTATATCTTCCATGATGCCTGACTTATAGAAAGTACTCCATAAATGTTATTGTATGAATAAGTAAATATAAGTGCAGCCGGAGTTAAGTATATGTCCAGTAATTTGATCTCTAGAATGACTGCTTTAGTTGAAATTCTCCCTCTGTCCGACTTTAATTCCCCTGCACTCATTTCCCCACCGAGATCTAGATCCAAAAACTATGCTGAGAAATATGATGTTTATCCAAAGAGTCCTTTCTCTCAAGTTCTTTTTTTTTTTTCTTTTTCCTAATTTAAATGTCTACAGATGCTGGCACATATCAAGAGTGTTGCAGCTATGTTATTTCCCCTACCTGATGGGCTCCTTCCCAGAAGGTCCTTTATTAACCTCTGTATCCCAAGAGTCTACCTAGCTCTGGGCCTGATTAATAAATGCTGGAAGTTTGATAGTTAATAAAGTTAGGGTTAGAGTATCTCAAATTATCTGTTGATTTCCTGAAACGTACGGTATCTATTAATAAATAAGCCAACAATAGGTACTGAGCCTCTATTAAATAAAGTACTAGTCAAGTTACACTGGGCACCATGAGGAAGTCAACAGATGAAAAAGTCATAGTTTCTGCTTTCTGATATCCTCTAAGTGGAGAGAAGATTTTGACAAAAAGGGCAACACTGTGGTAATTATCTGCACTCAAAAGAAACTTAGGCAAAAAAAGGAAATACATTTTTTTAAATGGTAAGTCCAAAATAAATTTAGTGTTCCCCAAATTCAGTTCCATATGTCTCTGAAAGCAATAATAATGGCCACCATTGGCTCTTGCCAATTAATTCTTTTATTAAAGTGGAGCATAACATCTAAGTCACTATTAAAGGTAGGATCAATCCATGTGCCAGCTTGTTACAAGGAAAAGGAAAACTCTGTCCCATGGCCACATGTCACACTTCTAATCACCAGGGGTCATTCTGTAAAACTGAATTGTTCCTCACAATAGAACCTAGATAAGAGATGTCACAAGAAAACCTAGCTAAGAGACAGTGAAGGTGATTTGGTACAAGCTCATCCTTACCACCAGGAAAACAATTCTAAGTACATGCCAAAGAATTAATAACAAAACATTCTTATAATGTGCACTGCTCACTTCTCTCCCCACTATGGCTTCCTTTCCATTAAACATACCCTAGCAGCCCTGGTCCATGGAAAGACTGAAGCTCTCGCTTGGGGGAAGGTGTTATAAAATATTCTAGCATGATTCATAACTTGACAGAAACTGATGGTTTAGGTCCCGATCAAACCCACAAATACGTTTTGTTTAAGCACCTGCATGGTGCTTTAAAAAAATTAGCCAAGGGCCGGCCTGGTGGGGCAGCGGTTAAGTTCGAGAGCTCCACTTTGGTGGCCTGAGGTTTGCAGGTTGGATCCTGGGTGCGGACTGATGCACTGCTTGTCAAGCCATGCTGTGGCCGTGTCCCATATAAAGTAGAGGAAGATGGGCACGGATGTAGAGGAAGACCGGCACGGATGTAGAGGAAGACGGGCACGGATGTAGAGGAAGACCGGCACGGATGTAGAGGAAGATGGGCAAGGATGTTAGCACAGAGCCGATCTTCCTGAGCAAAAACAGGAGGATTGGCAACAGATGTTAGCTCAGGGCTGGTCTTCCTCACACACACACAAAAATATTAGCCAAGTTAAAAGTCTGAAGATTTCACATGCATTCCGTGCTTCTCTTTAACAAGTGGAAGATTTGGTAACAGTGAACTTACGTTTTCACATAGTGACAACCAGCTGTAGGACATGTATTCTCTCTTTTCCCAAAGTTTCTACATTCCCTATTGTACCTTACACTGCGCTGTTTCCCTCATGTAGGTCTACAGCTCCCAATTTAAAATATTGTAGGGCCGGCCTGGTGGCACAAGCAGTTAAGTGCGCGCGCTCCGCTGCGGCGGCCCGGGGTTTGCCGGTTTGGATCCCGGGCACGCACCGTCGCACCACTTGGCAAGCCATGCTGTGGCGGCATTCCATATAAAGTAGAGGAAGATGGGCACGGATGTTAGCCCAGGGCCAGTCTTCCTCAGCAAAAAAAAAAAAGAGGAGGATAGGCAGATGTTAGCTCAGGGCCGATCTTCCTCACTAAATAAATAAAATTTCATAGTATCAAAAAACTGGAAACAAGTTAAACATTGAACAAAATGGAAGTTTAAACTGTGGTATTTAATGTGGTAGAAATATTATATTGCTTTTATAATGGGCATTATTGGTTGATTCTGTAGCATGTGTTTCCACCCCTCTGCGATTGTGAGGCAGCTGATGATTTGAATGGCGGTAGGCCCAGCTCCAGCTCCAGATGTGGCACTAATTGATGTACATAATCAGCCTGATCCCATCTTCATCTGATTCTGTCAGAATTCACGGATAGACACTGACACAGGTCTAAATTGATGCAGTCATAAGGAAGGCCGGATCTCGTGTTTGTTAGGAAAAAGTGCTGTCTCTCTTACTCTGGCTGGTGTGGTGGGTGGATGTGAGTCCCATAGTTACTGCAGCCACTTTGCTGCTATGAAGGAAGCCAGCCTGAGAATAAAGCTGACGCATGATGGAAGAGCTCAAACCCAGCTTGAAGCCTACCCCTGCCTTTGGATTCCCTGAGGACTGTGACCTCAAGTTCCGTTGAAGTCCTTGCCACAGGCCTATAATTTAGATTTTGGACATATGAGAAATATTCCTTAAATACACATGTTTTGCAGAAAAGCAACTTCAAAAGTTACAAATACATTCATAGTAAAGGGAAGAAAATTACCACTTTCCTCTTCTGAGTCAAGGGAAATCCATGCCCTCTCCACCACCTCCCACCCCTCCCCCAAGACATTTTTTTAGTCCCTTTTCCCTTTGCCACATAAAAATTAAGCAGAAAATTTGAAAAAAAAGATTTATGTCTAAGTTTTATGAGTCTAACATACAACTCATTGAGAATTATTAAATGACAAACACTTTGCTTTAGAATGTATTAAAAGGTTCCTAACACTTTCTCTAACACCTCCAATTTCAGGAAGATTCTTACTACTCTTTAATTCTTTGATTTGATGACAATAACAACGTCTTGTGGAAGGTCATTAGTTGATGATATTTTTACCTATCTACATTATTGCTAATAATTTCAAACTTCATAGCAGATTCCAAGTTTTAGGATTTTTTTTTTTTTTTTTTTTGTGAGGAAGAACACCCTGAGCTAATGTCCATGCCAATCCTCCTCTTTTTGCTGAGCAAGACTGGCCCTGAGCTAACATCCGTGCCCATCTTCCTCCACTTTATGCGGGACTCCGCCACAGCATGCCCTGAGAAGCGGTGCATCGGTGCGTGCCCGGGATCTGAACCCAGGCCGCCAGCAGCGGAGTGCGAGCACTTAACCACTATGCCATGGGGCCAGCCCTAGGATTATTTTTAATAAAAAGTGTTTCCTGTGATTATATTCATAATATCTTATTTCATAAGGTAGATGATGAGTAAATGGGTGTTCAGTATGTTATTCTCTATGCCTTTTGGTATATTTATAATTGCGTAATAATTTTTTTTGTTTTTTGTTTTGGTGAGGAAGATTAGCCCTGAGCTAACATCCATTGCCAATCCTCCTCTTTTTGCTGAGGAAGATTGGCCCTGGGCTAACATCCGTGCCCATCTTCCTCTACTTTATGGGACGCTGCCACAGCATGGCTTGACAAGTGGTGCATCAGTCCACGCCCAGGATCCGAACCTGCAAACCCCGGGCCACTGAAGCGGAGCATGTGAACTTAACCGCTATGTCACTGGGCCAGCCCTGTGCATAATAATTTTTACTATAATTCCACCATCACTTTGTGCCTTACTTTAGATAAATACCCTTCAATCTCTTTTATAGAAGTGACATCTCTCTCTTCTGTGCCCCACAACACCTGGTTCATACTCTCTTAGAGCACCTATAACACTTTCTTACATTTTAAACTTTTCATAACTATCTATCTCCACCAGATTTCAGCTTTTTGAAACAAATATTAAGTCTTTTGCTTCCTAGTACCTAAACATTCAATAAATGTTTATTATATGAATGATAGAA